TAGTATCTGAAATTTAGCAATATGTTCAGAGATTGAAAATGTCTTCACTTGTCCACATGCAAGCCAGCACAGGGCGTTTTGTGTTAAATGTCTGTAGGCCATTGGTTCTCAACCAGGAAGGATGTTTGCCTCCCAAGGGAACCATTGGCAATGACTGGAGACATTTTGGCTGTGGCCATTTGGAAAGTGTCTGTAGTATTTGGTAAGTAGATGCCAGGGATTCTTCTAAATACTGTACAGAACCGGTCCTCTCAACCAAGAATCGTCTGCCCCACCGTGTCATCACTGCCAAGATTGAGGTAGAGTATGCGTGGCTTCCAGTTTCCTAAATTCTCCTTAATTTTACAAAACTTTACTCATATACTAATCTACCTGGTTCCTGACAGAATTTGAGTTTACATTCTCAGGGCCCTACTCATTTTCTATATCAAAACAAGAAATAATTTGAACTTTTAAAGAGACATAATTTTATTAAGAAGTCAAGAATTTTAAAACAATAAGAACACTTAGTGCCTAGCTATAAGAAAGCTAGAAGCAGCAGTTCTAGCCTGTTCTACAGGCTCACTGTGAATTAGAGTGTCCCCAGTGGCAACGGGGTAAGTTAGGTTTCCAGTTACAAATAAAGGAAAACTCGACTGAAAAAATGTCTCTGAATTGACTTGTATCAAATAGAGAACCATCAGTACAACATGCGATCGATTTGAACTGGCCAGTTTTTTCAAGGGTCCCTGGCTGCTCAAAATGGTCTCCACTAGTCTACTAGCCTAAAAGGTTGGCAGTTCAAACCTGCCCAGTGGAAGAAAGGCCTGACAATCTACTGACATGGAGTACAGCCATGAAAGTACACGCAATGACCATAAATTTGGTTCAACTGCACAGCAACATGTTTGCTTGTTTGTTTGTTTCCAGCGCTAGCAGATTTCTCAGGTTTTTTTCTATGTTAGTTTCATATGTAAGATTTCAGTTTTCTCTTCTGATTTTCTTTCCCATTTACTGCACTTTTCCTGACCTTGCACTGTCCTATTTGGCTTCTGCAGTCTTCCTCTAACCTTCAGGCCATCTTGAAGCTATATCCTCTTACTTTCTAGAGGTTTCTGTGGGTCAGACATTAGTAACATTTTCCATCATGGTTTACCCAGTAGTCTGTGTTTTATTTAGTTAAACATTTACTAACTTTCAGTAGGATTAGACTTCTTCTTCCTGGGTCACTCAAAATTTCAAATACAATGTCCTTATTATTCATGCATCCTATAATTTTCAATTCACCTATTCGCTAAAATTTATTTGTAAACTCAAAATCTCTCATCAGAAATAGAGTGCCAATAAGCTATGTTGCCCGAGGCTTACCATCCCAGATCAATGCTTGGTTGTCTTTTTCCGCTTTCATTTCAGCTTGTGCCATTTTCACAATCCATTTAATGCCATGGGGTTTTTTTTGTTTTGTTTTGTTTTTTGGTACTTTTGGGGGGTACTTTTTATTGGTGATTTCACTGTTTAGAAATGGCCACGACTCTCTCACTGCCTCACTCTCTCACTGTCTCACCCTCTCACTGCCTCACTCTCTCACTGCCTCACTCTCTCACTGCCTCACTCTCTCACTGCCTCACTCTCTCACTGCCTCACTCACTGTCTCACTCTCACTCAGTGACTCACA